CGGTAAGCGCTTACCACAATAAAAGTCGTCACCCTCACTTACCGGGTAAGACTCTCCATCCTTATTGTTGTTCTTACCAGGTAAGATTTTTGGCCTTTGTCATGTTCATCAGGTGCAGAAAAATTGCCCGGTTAATAAACGACCCCGAAGTTAAAGATTTCCTCTAAAACTTGACAAGAGCGGAGAAAAATGATTCGTTATTTATTCCCTCCAATAAGATAAAGTTATTATATTATAGAGTGAATTATGGATTTGGTCCCTATGTTTTGATGTTTTTTCTGACTGTCCTTATGGTATGTTTATTATGCATTTGGTCCCTTACGTATTCAATTTGTCTTGACCATGGTCCATCTGACCAATACTGTTAAAATAAATATGTTAATTCAGATAAATCAAAGACCATTTTAGTCTTTACGCCTATTTTTTTATTTTTTTCTAATAAAAGAAGTAAAAACAATATTTTAACACACACACACATATATATATATATATATATATTAATAAGTATATCAAAATAAATTAAATAAGATATCATTTTATGATTTGATTTTTTTAAATTAAAAACTTAATTATATTAATCACGATTTAATCTTATTGTTCTTTTTCCATCATTGCAATAAACAAACTTATTATCGATATTTTAATACCAATTTTATCCTCCTAAAATTATGGTTTTGTCGTTTTCCTGTTGTTCTATACTCAAAAACTCAAAATCAACCATGCAGATTTTAACGAATGGAAGATTTATACATAATATCATCTTGGTAACTTAAAGTTGAACAAACCGGTCTAAAAACTATAATTAATTTTTAATTCAAACAAATCAAATAATAAAAACATTATTTATTTTGATATCCCCTAATATATATATATATATATATATATATATATATATATATATATATACTAGAAGCGTACTAACGCAATGCAGCGAGATGCATCATGATTTTAATATTTCATTTTCTTCTTTATCTCAGTCGATATTATAATATGGCTTTATGTGATTTTGAGAAAGTGATAATGTTTTTATTTTTGAATAAAATATATGTTTGAAGATATCATAAAAATTTGACAAAAATATATCGATATTAGT